ATACAACTATGCATTCATTTGGTGATCTGGCACTTGTGGCGTAGTGTGTTGTATGAGACCATGTATGTTGTATTGGGTTGTTAGACATGTAGACTATTGTAGACAGTTGCATGTGTTTTTGGATTGTTTGATTGTTTGTTTGTTATATGTGCAACATATCCTGTGTTGGGTTGATGCGGTCCTTCTTTGTGCGGTAGGCCAAGATACCCGGGCGGGCCAACGATATGTTTAAGGCCAAGTGTGTACCAACTATATGCTAAAGGCAAGTGGGTGTACCAGTTATGGATTGAAGGTCATTGTGTGTATCATTGTATGTATATTGTATTATGTGGTATTTTGGGGAAAACTCACTAAGATTTGGCTTACAATTGTGGATTAAATGTTTCAGGTACATCAGATGATCATGGAAAGGCGAATGCATGACTGTACACACATCGACAACTTCCATAATTTGTGATTCTGCGCTTATGATCATACTCTGATTTTGGAGTGTAAACTTTTAGAACGAATGAGTTTTTGATATTTCTTAACAATGGTCCCTTTTATATGAGATTAAAATTGAAAATTCTATTCTGAAAATTGGGGTGTTACATGTGTGTTATCTAAAGAGGCATAGACCATTGATTCACGTCCCAGGTGACCAACCTTACTTATCTTGTTAACCCTTTTGTGCAACAAGTTGTGACTGATTGTACCCCTTTGTTGGGTTTGACACACCTAACAAATTGGCATTGTTTTTGGGACATGGTATATCTAATTGTTTTATGCTAAGATCTTCATGCATATTTACATCGCTTAAAGTTGATACAAAGATAGAGAAGACCATAAAAAGGTTAAGGAAAGAAGTGAAGCTCCGAAAGAAGCAAGTAAATTCTTCAACCTCAACCTTTTCACCTCATGTGATGAACATCCAACAAGACAATCCATTGCAAAACGAATTTGAAATTAAACCGCTACAATCCTAAAATTAAATCTACCACTCACCCTTTCACTAACCATTTTTTCTGGTCACATCCTCCGGTGCCAAACGACATTTGTCCCTACTGAAAGCCATAAAACCTACCATCCAATCACCTCATTTGGTCCTAAATCACATTTGTCTCCACTAAAAGTCAAGAAACCTATCCTTCGTCCCTTCCTTCCCTCAAACCCACCATCTAAAAATAGTACTCAAACACTCTGAGATGGGGGCTCGAAATCGAAAACCCTCACCTCGTATGTCGTCCTAGACAGTAACTATAGATCGAAAACCCTCAAAATACTCATGACATGAATCGTTCGGGGGACTTGGTACTGACTAAGGTTGATATATGGATGACTTTGTCGGGGTATTTAACAAAAGATATGAGACACCAATGAGATCGAAGGTACAACAGTCGGATATACGCAGTGCCGGTCCAAACAGTGGGCAACCCGGGCGACCGCCCAGGGCCCACGTCTCCAGGGGCCCAAAATTTTTGGGCTATGTAGTGTATATATATAAAAAAAAATAATACCTAAATGATTTTTAGAGCCAAAAGTTGATTCAAACTCAAACTAGCTCAAAAGATAAACAATTTGGCTATCTTGTTATTACTAATTGTACGCGTTTATAGTGAAGAATAAATGATATTTTTTTGAATCTTTATGATATGTGTCTTTAAGGGGCCCTTTTTTTTTTCTTTTCACCCTGGGCCCGATATATGTTTGGACCGACCCTGGATATATGATGAGTCATGTTGTTACGTGGGGTGAAGATTAAGGCGGGGGAGTGGTGACGTTAGAGATTGTAGTTGATGGCTCTGAAAAATGGGTAGGGTCGCAGTTGGTGGTAGGATGGGGGTGGAGGACGCATAAGGGGTTCGGGTCGTCGATGAAGCTGTTAGATTTAGGTTTTATTTCAATTTTCATAAAATTTTCATAAATAGACCTTGAAGTGTATATGTTTATTCATTTTGGTTCGAGGGCAAAAATGTCTATTTAGATTGGATTTAAAGGAAAACTTAACAGTGTTAGGCAAAATGATCAATCGTGATGGATTCTGAAGCCATAAAGAGCATTTGTATCAAAGTTTCAAAACTTGAAATAAACTTGGAAGAGAGTGTTAACCATAGGGACCAAAATTGTAACTCACTTACTTTTAATTTCATTTAGTATAAGATAATCCTCCCTAATAAATAAAAGAATTTTTTTGCCACATGTCACACTCTCATTGATTTTGCCACATGTCATTTTATGGTTATTTTCAATTAATTTTTTTCCACATGACATTTTGTGGTTTTTTTCATTTTATTAATTTTCACATAATATTTAAATTTAATAATTTCAATAAATGTAATAATAAATGCATATCAATTTCATTAATTGATTTACTTTTATTTTCAAATTTTCTAAATTAAGTTTCATTAATTTCCTTTGTTTATTTATCTAAATTATTTTTTTAATTTAAAAGAAAAACAAACAATTTAATTTTAAAAATTCAATATTTTTCTATTTTTTTCTTATAAATTCAAACTTCTCAAATGTTTAGAATTTCATTATTTTTTTTCTTTAAAATGAACCCATGTAATATATGGGTCTTACACCTAGTAAGTTAAAATAAAGAACAATAGCAAATGACGTAAAGAGTAATGCGGTACGTTAAGAGGAAAGAGGCGTTGTTGTTACTTGTCAAACACGATGCTAATTGAAAAAAGAGTCATGTACCACACACATATACACCCCTGCACCATTTCTAATTTGTGTGTCGTATTTTAGATTTCACTATGTAAATTTTTTTGTTAGCAGTTTTGTAAAATATTATTATATTAAGATTCGTATGTTTGTTTATTACATTTATTACCTTAAATAAGATAATCTTGGACCTAGCGTGTATACCATGTCTGCATAATTTGTCAATTTTTATATTTTCATTTGGTGTCATAAAGATTTCTATTTATATTTTAAGTCGTTTTATTGGACAATATTAAATTTAATAAAAGAAATTGAATGATAATTACGTAACAGTCATTACAAGCTGTATGGTACGTTGAACAAAAAATGTTTAAATCACCTAAAAGTCTCATCAAGGGTCTGGACGTTGCAATGTTGCATGTTACTTTGTTTGACTCCTTTTGTTTTTTCCTTTATTGATTTCAAAACTGTATTAATGGGTTCAATAAGCTCAACGTCATACAAATGTATTCAAATTATTAAAATATCCTATTTTTCTTTATTAAAATTTGATTAATAGCTTAAAGACATAGTTTGTTTATTATATTGAATCTATTAATAAGTGCATAATTTACAAGAAAAAAAAAACATATAAAATATTATCGGCATATCAAACCAACCAACCCGGCCTCTTTCAAACCACATATAAATTGCACGTTTTCGTCCATACTCATTTTTATTTTTTGGTTAGTTTTTTTCTTACGATGCAATAAAAGAATTAAATGAACGCATACTCACAAACAATAACAAATAACGATATAGCAAATTCAAGCAGATATTATTGGTGGATTTATAAACATAAAAACATAAAAGTGTTTCTTAATAACGAGATAAATCTTAAGGATTAATATAGGATATACTAAATCCCAGAAAGTATATTTTTTTATCAATTAAAGATAATTAGTCAAATAAATATAAGAATTTTTTTTAGGGTGATTAGTCAAATTAATACACTTTGGGCCTGTCCGCCTGTGCATAAAAGGCCTAAGGCTGCAATGCGCCAATGCGTAGTTCCAATTTCCAAATACCCAAAAGCACATTATTGGCCCAATTTTAGGGTGATTGTATATTTGTATATATACTAATATACCCTTTATTAATAAAATAAAAAAATAAAAAAAAAATCCATAAAGGAGGTTATTTCGTAAAATAACATGAATCGCGGGAGTTTTAAGTTTTAACATCCCGAAACTCAACATTAAGAATAAACGACAAATATAATCACCATCGAGTATAGGTGCTTTTGTAATTTTAGTCTCCGCTTTTCTATTTTTTCTTTTAAATTTGGGTCTTTAGTTTTTGTAATCTTCCTATTTCCAAAGAGATGACTATATTACTTTTTCTAATCTTTTAAAGACGTTTGTTATTTACTTAAAAGTTAAGTTGTTATATTACTTTTGGACCCACCGGGCTCCATTTCTGGATGAAAATACTCATCTTGCCATACACTTCATGGCAACGAATACCCTTCATGGCAACGAATTTTTGTAACCCCCTTTTGTGATTTCTGAGCCCCTTCCAACGTCTATGTAAATAGGTGCATTGTGCAACATAATTCAAATTATGAAACAAGAATCAAATCTCATTACGTTCAAACTTGAACTAAATATGCTTTGATTTTTTAATAACGCCAAAGGTACAACTTCATTGGGCACTTTTATGCTTCATGGTCATATTGATGTTTATGTATATTGATCTTGGAGATGGATTTGTAGGAAAACTACATGAATGAACTTGTTGGTTGAGTATAGGATTAAACAATACAAATAAATTTGTTGATCGGAAACTTTTGAAGATGAAGATTAGTGAACATTATGTTTGGGTTTCAAAACAATCCAACATCATTACTAGTGACTTTTCAGGGATTCAGGATAGTGACAGCAAGAGATGAGAAGAGAGGGTTGAGAGGTGGGGTGGGTGGGGTTGCATAAATCAATATACTAGCCATATAAATTTAAATAAATAACAAATGTTTATTAGAAAAGATCATAGGGTGATTTATTTTGCAAAGGAACTATTTTGGTTTGATACTTTGAAAAAAGGATCGTATTTCGTATATGTTATAAAAACCTTAAATTAGGACGAAAGTGAAAGATAAAGTATTTTGGGACCAAAACTATAAAACAAAATAATACTCAAGGACCACTTTAACAATTTACGAAGAATAAATATCTGAAACGAAAGCCATGGACCCACACAGTTTCAACACTTTACACCCAATTCTCCCTCCAAATCACGTTTAATTTTCTTCAACTGCCATTTCTTCTCCGGCGAACCCATCGCTCTTCCTGCAAATATTTTCTGTTTCTATGGCCACGAACACCGCCGCACGACGGCAACGGATTCTCATACGAGCGCTATACACTGGCGTTCTTATTGTCCTTGCAAGAACGATCTACCTCATTATCACCACCGCCCCTAGCACCACCACCACCACCAACATGACCACCCCTCACGAAAGCTCCTGGAAAGCGGACACAGATGAACAGCTCGTGAAATACTACTCCTCGATTTTTCAAGATTTAATCTTCGACGGAATTCTTACAGTCGACTCAAGAACACTCACCATCGGAGCCGAATCTCCCCAATACATTGCCGCCCTTAGAGAAGCTGGCATCGCCTATTCCAAAGCAATCAAGAAAAACGTCAGGTTCCCGTTTATGAACAACAGTTTTGATTTACAGTTCTCTGCACACTCGGGTCTTGACAGCTCCGCATATCCCGGCGAATTGTCATCGGAATTGACAAGAACTCTGAAACCAGAAGGGTATCTCATCATTCACACGGAATCCAAAGACTCCTACAGTTTAAATTCTTTGTTGGATTTGTTCGATTCGTTTAAATTGATCCGATCACGTGAAGTACCGGTTCAACATTGGTCTATTCCACGAATTCGTGAAGTTATTTTGAAGAAACAAAACGGGATTCTCCGGCGACGGAGAAACCTCGCCGGAAGTTGCTCTGTTCCAGCGTATAAAAAGGAATTAATTCAAAATTCTGAGCCATTGATAGCTGAAGAACCAATGAAGCCATGGATTTCTTTGAAAAGAAACCTCAAGAACATCAAATACCTTCCATCAATGGCGGACATTAGCTTCAAAACACGATACATCTATATCGACGTCGGAGCTAGAAACTATGGATCAAGCATCGGAAGCTGGTTCAAGAAACTTTACCCAAAACAGAACAAACCCTTCAAGATTTTCGCAGTTGAATCAGACAAACGATTCCATCAAGAATACAAATCCAAGAAAAAGATAACCCTTTTGCCATACGCAGCTTGGGTACGAAACGAGTCATTGTTCTTTGAGATCAACCGCCAACCAAACATCAAAAACGAAGATAAAGGAAGAGGGATGGGTCGAGCTCAATCCGCCCAAACTTCAACCAGTTTCTTAGGGGATTTGAATAAGATTCAAGGGTTTGATTTCGCGAATTGGGTGAAGAACAGTTTTACAGAGAAAGATTTCGTGGTGGTGAAGATGGATATCGAAGGAACAGAGTTTGATATAATTCGGAAAATGGTGGAAACTGGGGCCATTTGTTTGATAGATGAAATGTTTCTTGAATGCCATTATAATCGATGGAGAAGATGCTGTAAAGGAGAAAGGAGTTCCAAGTATCAAAATGAGTACAATGAATGTATGGAATTGTTTAGTTCATTGAGGGAGAAAGGTGTTCTGGTTCATCAATGGTGGTGACACAAATTTCTGTAATTTTTTGTTAAAATTTGAGGAGAAAACCGTACATGTTTGAGTTCGAATAATGTCTAATTTCAGATCGTTACATTTTTTAATTTAGTTTTAAGCTTTAAAACTGTTCTTTCTACTACGGTTAACCATGAATATCTGCTACGATGATGATTGATGAGTGTGCAATGCATGACTGGATGATATTGATTAAAACTTATAAACATGCCATGGTTATAGGCTTATTGTGGGCTTGGGAGCTAGTGCAAATTTAAAATTGGGATAACGTTTTGAGCTATATAGAAAAATAAATAAGTGCATTCTTTTTATAGATGCTCTCAAATTTTGGGTTTGACGCCTTTGAGGCTTTAATCGCTTTGAGTTGGCCCAAAACTAAGATTTATAATCGGGCCTTAACTGGACATGCTAAAGAAAATACGCAACCCATCACCATTGTTAATCATTGTGATTAGCCCAACCAAGTCACATAAGTCAAACCTTTTTATGATTAGGCCCAAGCCCAACCATTGTGCTCAAATTCCTTGGGGGTTCTAGTTTTTGTTATAAAATATGAAGCTAAGTTAAAAAAACAAAGTAGAAAATGAGATTGTAAAAATCTTTATTTCAATACTTGTGGTAAAAAAAAACCAAACTTTACAATACATGATACTTACTATTTATACTAGACAAAGAAGATGAAAGGTGATGTATGTTATGAATGCTCATTATAGTGGTGCATTACTACGTTCATAAAACTCATAATAATGTTTGTTATAATGCTCACTAATTATGGAGAGTGATGAGGGAATATGGGGAATCAAACAGTCATTCACTAAATAATATTCATAACACTCCCCCTTGAATGATGATTGTATCATGCCTCGTTAAAACTTTAATAGGTTAAACTTCATGGGAAAAATCTTTTATTAAGGAAAAAGAGTATATGATTAATAATAGATATTGGGAACAATTGCCTCGTTAAAAACCTTGTTAAGAAAACCCAGTAGGAAAAACATAGCTAACAAAAAAAAGTATAATATGTTTCCAACTCCCCCTGGTCATCAAATCACTTGATTTCCTTAAAGAGTCGCATGCCAAAGTTTCATACTATCTTTTCAAATTTGGATGTAGGGAGTGCTTTAGTGAATAAATAGGTCAAGTTGTTACTTGATTGAATTTTCTGGATGTTGATGACACACTCTTTTTAAAGATCATGGATGAAAAAGAACTTGGGTGATATATGCTTGTTCTGTCTCATTTGATAAATCATTCCTTGAATTGGGTTATGCAAGCCGTATTATCTTCATAAAATATGGTTGAAACATCCCTGTTAGAAGTTAGACCATAATTCTCACGAATGTGATGAGTTAAATTTCTTAACCAAATACATTCATGACTTGCCTCATGACTTGCTATAATCTATGCATGGTTAGTAAAAGCAGCAACTAAAGTTTGTTTAATAGAACGTCAAGAAATTTTCGTACCTCCATAAGTGAATAACTAACTTGTTTGAGATCGAACTTTGTGTGGATCAGATAAATATCCAGCATCTACATAACCAATTAACTGTGTATTTGATGAATTTGATTTGTATAAGCTCATATCCATTCTACCTCAAAGATACCAAAGAATATTTTTGACTCCATTCCAATGTTTTCTTGTTGGGCAAGAACTATATCTTGCTAATAAGTTTATAGAAAAAAAATATATTGGGTCTTGTATTATTAGCAAGATACATTAGTGCATCATAGGGATGAAATTTAGAACCGGAAAACCGGACCGGAACCGGAATCGGAACCGTTAGAACCGGAATATATAGAACCGGTTCCGGTTCCGGGTTTAAAAATTGGCTTTATCCGGGTTCCGGGTAATCCGAGTTTGTCCATCGGGTCCGGGTAAACCGGGTCTAAAAACCGGAACCGTTGTTAAGAACCAGAACCACTTTTAGGGCCGAAACCGGTTTTTTGTGAAACATTTAAAAGATGCATATCTCATTCGTTTCAACTCCGATTGACATGCGGTTTTTTCCAACATGTAGTTTAGAGTTTGTACATGATATTAGACTATAAATTTTCCATTTTTAGTTTTATATTCATTGACTTACAGTCCTCAAAAGTCGAGATATCAAAGCTGAAAGTTTTTAGTTTTTCAGTTTTTTGGATTCTGTGAAAGTTTTAAAACACGCATATCTAATTCGTTTGAAGTTGGATTGACATGTGGTTTTTTCCAACTTGTATTTTAGAGTTTTTACATGAGTTTAGACTACAATTTTGTCATTTTTTGGTTTAATATTCAATGATTTACAGTCCCTCGAAGTCGGAATATCAAAACTGAAAATTTTCAATTTTTCAGCTATTTGTTTTTGTACTTTGTATTCTGTGAAAATGTTAACACATGCATATCTCATTCATTTAAAGTCGGATTGACATACGGTTTTTTCCAGAGTGTAGTTTAGAGTTTATACATTATTTTAGACTATAATTTTGTCAATTTTGGTTTCGTATTCAATGAGTTACAGTCCCCCAAAGTAGGGATATCAATATGAAAATTTTAAAATTTCAACCCACTAAGTAGTAAGTAATTACCAAAAAAATTTCGGTTTTTCCGGGTTTTCCGGTTCTAAACCAACTTTATCTGGTTCCAACCTACCCATTTTGATGTTTCCGGGTTTTCCGGTTTTAGACCCACTTTACCCGGTACCGTACCCGAAACCGAACCGGAACCGGTTCCTATATACCGGTCCGGTTTCCGGTTCTACAAAATCCCGTTAACTGGTTCCGGGGGTTTTCTAGGTCTGGGTCCATCCGGTCCGGGTTTGGACCCACTTTCATCCCTAGTGCATCAATAGCACTAAGATATGGTATGTAACACTCATAAAATCTCATAAAAATTTAAACTTTTAAAACCAACCAACCAAAATCATAGTTGTTTACATCATAATTTTCAAAACATGTTTATCATCAGAGTTTTTCCCAAAATCACAAATCATAACATGAGGAGGTGCACGATCATGCCTTCGCCTTTCTGCGATCCTCTGAGGTACCTGAAAAATAATCCCAAAACTGTAAGCCCCAAGCTTAGCGAGTTTCCCCCAAAATACCAACATAACACAAAACCAGAAAAAATACAATAAACATCATGCATACAGAGCCTTCAGTCTGACTGGAACGCCCCACCGGCCTACAGTCTATCTGGTACGCTCACAGAACCTTCAGCATGACTGGTATGCCACATCGAGCCTTCAGCCTATCTGGAGCATTCTCCAGGCATTCAGTCTGACTGGTACGCCCTACCGGCCTTCAGTCTATCCAGGACGCCCTGGGTCTGTTGGCCTTCACCACAAAGCAGGACCACCTCAACCCACCCTCCATCACATGTCAACATATAGCATATCAAACACTAGCTAGCATGCACACACAGTCAGACAGATCTAACAGATCACTACATATAACGTCATTCTATAAACCAGGATACATATCTAATAGATGACTACACATAACATCATACAATAACCAAGATAACAATCCAAAGGGCCGACCTTGGTGCCTTCGACCCGTAAGTACAGCGAGGAAAACTCACCTCGAAAAGCTGAACAGAACTAAAGAAGTCCCACTCCGAAATCTCAACTCTCTACACGCTACCTACATCCATCAAGTGACCAGTTCCATCAAAATCCCAAAATACCCAAACTGCCCTCAAAAGTCAAACTTGGTCAACCATGGTCAAAGTCAAAGTCAACGGTCAAGGTCAACAGTACATGTTGCCCTAACACGCCGTGTGCACTAACAAACACGCCGTGTTTCGATAGCAATTAGATGGTCGGGAAAACCCCAGCCAACACGTCGTGTTTGCCCGAGCTGAATATATTCAGCTGTTCCTTCGATTCCAAGGACTCCCAGGCTCAGATCTAAACTCAAATGATATAAAAAAGGATAAAGTTTCCAACTTTATCTAGTGGGGCTACCCCAAGTGTTCAAAAACCCATCCACTAGTGTGACAACCGTCAAAATTCGAGTTAGTTCTAGATTTGATAAACTTAGTTGCACATATAGGCACAACACATATTAGACTTAGTAATTAGAAGCTAAGTTATAACCTACTAGAAACTTGGAAACAGATAGAAACAATGGATGGTGTACTTAGATTTCACCTTGATATGTGAATTCTACATCTACTAAGCTGTAGTGACTATCCATATTTGGATCACTCTTTGACTCGAACAATATTTCATGAATCATGTACACACATCATGCACTTGACCTAGAAGTAGAAGTTAGTTCAAAGTCTCATAGAAACTTAAGTCAAATTTGAAGACTAGGACTAGTATACTTGATTCCTCAATTTCGCTTGAATCTTGGAATCACTACATAGAATGCCAATAAGCCGATAAAAATAAATTACAAACATTATTTATAACTATAAAAGAGTTATAATACCATAAGATAATTTAAAGTCTCAAATATTCTATTTATTTTGATATTCAAAGTTTATTAAACTCCAAAACCCTAAAAGCCCTAAAAACTCATATTTATAAACTTTAACCTTAAAAATCCTATAAAAACAATTATGAACCTTATAATATTATCTTATCATAATAATTATTATGAAATAAAATTCAATGAAAAATAAAGATTTAGTTATTAACATTTACCCTTGATTTATAAGTCAAAAATCAAGAGTTTTAGGCATAAAAACTAGGTTAAGGTGCACATTTTATAAAAAGTTGGATATTTTTATAAAAGATTTGAATTTTTATAAAGGAAACAAGAGAGAGAGAGCCTCTCCTCCCCTAAAATCGGATCCCTCTCTCCCCATATCTCTCTCACACTCTCATTCTCCAACACACACACATCTCTCTTCTTTCTCTCTCTAGAAAACTCTCTCTACCTTCTCTCTACTTTTTCTCTCCAAACACCACTCCATTCTCTCTTCCTCCCTCTAAGAACCAAGAAATTTTCCAGAAAACAAACCCAAGAACACTCCTCAAACTCGAAATCTTCATCATCTTGTGG